TCGATGCTATCGTGCAATTATGATCATGATTTTCAAGTCATTTTTGGCTAACTGAGTTTTAATTCGAGATTGTTGTGTTTGTGTAATAACGTACGAAAAATAACAAGAAGAAAAAAATCTATGGTCATAAGAGTTTGCACGATAACATAAGACAAGATAGCTAATTGGAACTAGAACAAAATGAATAAAAAAAAAAGCAACACACTGAGATAAAAAAAAAGATAGGTTAAATTTATAGACCCAAATTGTAATGAGAACTACCAAAAGAAAGTGAACTTCAGACTTTTATCATTTATTATTTATCAAATTCAACTCGTGAAAAATATGCGTTTACATGTCATAGATGTTACTATAAAGATTTTTTAAAGGGCAATCCGGTTAATAATAATTTATAAAACTGAAAGCCCGAAGTATTATTTTCTTCTCTCTTTTATAATTATTCATCAATCGGAAATAACAATTTTATTATTTTATTTTTTTAAAAAAAATTTTTATTGATAATATGAATGCCATAAATATATTATACCATACTTCGTAAGAATCCTGCAAAAATTTTGTATCTGAAAACTAAGCTTTCACAAATTTTGTTATAGCATTATTTAAATCAACATTAAAATCTTGCAAAAAAAATTCTTTGCTAAGACAAAAAGCTTGTTTTCTGGTAATATTTTAAGACAGAATTTTTGAAATCTGTACTGAGCTATGTTGATCTCTAAACCTAAAAGCTATGGGATAATCAAAAAATGATTACAGAAGATTGTACAGTACATATAATAATAATATGGATGACCAAAATAGTATGGTAAAGGGTGTAAATTACTATACCTAATTTAAAAATTATGCCAAATAAATATACTATAACGATAATTTCTAAAACTAATGCAGTAAATATGATATAGAATCAGCATGATAAAGGGTACGTACCTATTTTAAAAAATTAGACCATACTATATATATAATATAATGATAGTTTCTAAACTTCATACAGTAATATATAATATAACGATAGTTTCTAAACTTCATACAGTAATATATAACACCAGAACAGTATGATACAAATTTTTAGAATAAAATATGATTGCCACGCCATACAGATCTGTGTAAATTACAATACTCAACACATAGGCCGTTCTTTTTTAAATGTTTAAAATGTGGACGAAAATCAACAAACCTAAAAAAAAGATCAATGGACAATTAGATTACAGAACCTAAAATTGCCTAATAAAAATAGTTTAAAAGTTACAGAAAGAACGTTACAATTAAAAATCATTTCTGTTAATATGCTGTATATCTTAACGGTTTGAAAAAATTGAAAAATGACTCGTTGTTAGAAAAAATAAAAAATTATACTGATTTATTAGTTAAGACCGTAACTTCAACCTGAACTTTTATAGATAAAACTTAAATTATTAATTTCGGAGACCAGTCAATCATTATAAATTAGTCACGATAAATTTTCACATGTTTTAACTGTACTGTATTATGATATTATATGTATAATGATCTTAACTGACCAATAATCAGATTTATTTTATTCCAGACAGGCATTAAAAGTTTAATATATAAATAGATAATTCAAATTCAAATCAAATCAAATATTTGATATATTTGATCAAATTCAAATCAAATAATTATCCGATTTGAATTAGTGATTCTGGCCGAGCTTAATTTTTCAGCTATGACCAAGCCGATAAATTTTATCAGCTTAGTCGGCTTGTACAACCTAATGTACTATTTAATTTTGCTCTTTAATTAGGAATATTAGCCGATTTTTTTCACTATCGGCCAAAATCACTAATCTATATGAAATCAATGAAATTATTCAAATTAATAGGGAATATTGTACAATAAAGATACGAAAATTGAAACCCGATCCAGTAACTCAAACAACAGCAACAATCGATTATCTATTTTCACACTACTGCACTATTGTTACCACAAGATGATCTGATACTACGAAATAAATAAAGATGCACTTTGGAAACATCAATTTAACCAATTTAGGGAATACCCGATAAAAACCATCCCGCCAAGTAGATCGATGCTTAAGCCGGCCATAACAATGGGAATGAAATACAGCATCAATTGAATGCAGGATCATCAGAGGCTGGCAGTGCTAAATTTATGGAGATCGAATATAAAAAATCTAGTTTCACCAGCTTGCACGTTTGATAATACAGGTAATAAAAATTAAAATAGACCTTATCGCCATATCTCTATTCCTCTCTTATTTAATGCAGTAGCTTCTATGTATTTTCGACCAAAATGCTTATTCAACACCACGCCTTATCTCTGGCCTTCTAGCTGATCAAAGTGCTTATTCATTACCTCCAAAATCTTTATCCCTCATTAATAGAAATTAGCCTATATTAATACGACATGAATCATCTCTAAATTTCTATAAACATGACAAAGCCAAGCCATTGTAGATGCGAGCGATATTTATGGTATGTATTACAGGAGCGACCGTCGATGTTACACGACTGGTTTTTCACGCGGTGTGAAACACATAAAAAAATTATTTTACAATACTTGATCGGACTTGATCAGTCAGTTAGTACATGTTATGATTATAATCCCACACCATTTTTTATTATAAAAAAATGGTGTGGGATTATAATCATAACATGTACTAACTGACTGATCAAGTCCGATCAAGTATTGTAAAATAATTTTTTTATGTGTTTCACACCGCGTGAAAAACCAGTCGTGTAACATCGACGGTCGCTCCTGTAGGTATGTATACTATGAAAAGTGAATAAACATTTGTGACAACATTAAAAGACATCAAAACAAGCTTTAATATTGTATTAAAAATTTCCGACCCGCAGATAATGCTTATATACATTTAAAAATTATCATCATTATATTGATATGATAAACAATATACCCTATAAAAACCCCTGCTTGTGATTTAAGGTAAATCCATATTTTCTTAATATTTCAATCTTAAACAATTCGTTAAAAGAAAAAAGATGGCACAAGAAAAGAGAGCTTGTAGTCTTTTGTGTAACAAATTTATCTCTTATTGGTTTCCATCTGTAGATGAAGATTATAAGGATTATGAACAACGTAGAGAACCAACATGTTATCGTTGGACTAGATTATTCTCTCTTTGCATCGTTTATATTTTGATTCTGTATTTCATTACTATTTTCATTTTGAGTTTTACTGGAAAACCCTTTATACAAATGTCCCGATCACAAGTTGATAGTATACCAGTTCCTGGTAAAGGTTTAATTTTCAACTGGTTAGTCTTAATAGATGATGCTAATTTACTGACATTTTAACTATGATTTAACAGTTGTCATTATTAATTTCAATTCAACGGCTTATTCTAATTATAATATTAATTGTTCTTACGTACTTGGTAAGTTATTTAATAATTTAACACTCGTTTCAATTTTCTTATTCATTTAATTATTTTATTTAACTTTTTGTAGCTACTGGCGCCACCATCTCTTGCAATGATAAAATAAGTAACGTCACTGATACATCTGTGATAAATTTTGTTTATTATGATCCTGATATTAGTTTTACGGATGGAACCTCTTTAAATATGCCCATTGGATTTGATTTCCGAATTTCTGCCAATAATTCGTTTGCAAATGATAGTAGTCCAGCCTTTATAACATATCCAATAATAAAACTTGTTGATCCAAATTTATTTAATAACAGCAACAGACATGCTGACGATAAGCTAACCGAGGTTTTGAGTGAAGGATCTAATATGTACGCTCTTTCGCCGTATCAGGTAATAAATAATTTACAAATAATTCGCAAAAATCAAGTAGAATAGTCTGATAGAAAAAATCCTCGTTTCCGCTATAGTATTTCTGAGCTATTTAAATGATTAGATCAGTCAGCAACCAAAAATCAAATTGTAATGTCACTGTAGTAAGAAAATACCAAACTTTTTGAGGTTCTAATGTTACGGGACCGATGATTTTTTCTATCTACCGCTACTTTACAACATAAATTTATTTTTAATTGATTTTATTTTTACCTGTGGTGTCGAAAAATATCACATGTTTGTTATTAATATTTTATACATTATATCTATATAGAGACAAATTATATGGTTAGATCGAGTTAAATATTCAGATCTTGGAGGTTCTTTAAAGCGTGGAGTTTTGTCAGTTGCAGTAAAATCATCCGAACATACGTTTAATTATTTTGGACTTTCAACGAGAATACGTAAGCAATAAATGTCTATCAGATTAAATTATTTTCTAATTTTTATATATATTAAAGTATTCGTTTTTACTTTTACAAATAGAAACTCTTAACCCGTTAAACCCACAGGTCATTCCATCACAATTCACTACTACTTTTGAAATATATAATCAATCATCAACTTTAATTACTTATAAGGAATCAGAGTAAGTCATGATCTATCTGGATTAATTTTAACATTTTTATCGTTATATTTGCAAAACCAACTTGATTTTCTATTTAATATGACGAATGACTTTTAAGAGAACAAATTTCATGTGTTTAATGACCAAAAAATGCATACTAATATTAATATTATCTGTTTCATAATCTTTTAGTAAAGCTTCCCAATTCAAGGTTCTCACCTTCTTTACCTCACTTGGTGGAGCAAATGCTCTCCTTGTAACCTTTTATATATTCTTGTTTGGTAAAAAAGCTCCAGGCATGCTACCATTCCTCGTCTATCCATTTTTGTGTTGTTCAGGACCGGCACGTTTTATACATGATAGATTAATAGCTCCAAAAAAAGTAAAGGACTTAGAGAATAATGAATCAGTGCGATTATATAGAATATGAAGGATCGTTCTTTTTAACTTGTGGTAGAGAAAGACGTAATGTATTGTTATTGTTTCCTATCTTTATTAAAATGCATATCTAGTGAAATATTCATTATAACTAGAAAGTTTTTATACTATAAATAAATATTCATAGTCTATTCATTATAATGTTAATTATATTAAAAATTAATTATATAATAAAAAATATATGAATGAGTTTTATATTCACAAACTAAAATATTTATGTGTTAAATAATTGATATTTCGCCTGGTAAAGGTCGAAGTCGAACCTTATTTTCGATTTTCTCCTAAAAAGTTTTGAAAGGGAGATGACGAAACTGGTAAGACATGACGAAATTGGCGAAATTTGGTAAACGAAGGGGAAAGGTGGTAAAATTAATCGAAGCCTGTACAATCAACTGACCAAGTCGAAGTTTTAAGCCTGTTTAGTCGACTAAGCAATGAAAAAATCTAATAGCAACACATGGGCGGGAATCTTCAAATTTTGTGATTAGGTAAATTGAATGATGAGATTACATAGAATTTGAACAATAATATATATGATATAATGTGATTAATAGGATTAAAAGGATTATTTATGAATTGCTTCATCAGTTATTTATCAGTCTTTATACGCTGTTCATGAGTAAAGTAATAAAAAACAACCCACATACGGGCCCATATGAGTAAACCATTTATGATAAATTCTATTTAAAACCTAAATTGTTTTAAGATCCAAATCCACTTAAATGGATTTCGAATCCACAGAATTCCTAAATCCGCCTACTACATATATTTTAAGCTCGAGGTTTTATAACATAAATCCTAGACATGATCAATTAGCCTAAGTCGATTAAACCTTAATCGGCTTATATCACTATGAAAATAGAACTCAACACATATTGCTACTTTAAATAGAATCATAAAGTATATAAATAAAGTTTCTATTCTTAGATTTTTCTTATATAGTGCTCGATTTTGCTTCGCTTGCCTCTTTTCAAACTCTTTTTTTTTTATTTCATTACTTTATGTATTAATAACAATTTTTTTTTTACATTACTTCTGGTCTCTCTGCACTGAGTTTTTTTTTTCAAATCTAACTCTACGTTTTTTAACATCTGCATCTTTACATTTACTTGCATTTTTTTATTTTCGGCAATGCTGCTGCGTACTTTCAAAGACAATACTATCTACATTTATACTTTTTATATTTAGGTTCCCATGTATATAAAACCTTTTCATATATACGTTTTCCATTGCATACAGCATTCGGTTTGTACAATTTTTGTGTGATAAAGAAATTAAAATAATTTGTATATAGCACTATTTCATTCGATACTGTATGCAGTGGCGTCCAATCAACATGAATCTTACTTTCATGAAAAATTTACTTCGAACGGCCTTAGTTAGGTAAGTGCCGAATAACCTATGTTCAAAGTTTAGGTCAATTTTAATCGATATTTTTTAACGTCCACATATCCAATTTCGATAAATTTTTTTAATTCTACAAATTTGTAAAATTAAAATAAAAAAAATTCATTAAATTTGGATGGATGATTGTTGAGAAATTATTTTTAAAGTTTTATAAAAAGTTTAAGAAAAAGAATGTTGCAATAAAATTTTTTATTTAAACTTTAATCGATGATTACTCAACAACTATCCGTCCAAATTTAATGAAATTTTTTATTTTAATTGTACAAATTTGTAGAATTAAATGTAGATGTGGAGAAATATCGATTAAAAATAAAAAAATTTGGCCGCAACTTTTTTTTTGTGGGTATGAATTTGGGTAGGTACGTAAATGCCGGGTAATCTTCGTTCAAACTTTAGGTATCCGAAAAAAAAAGTCGCGGCTAAAATTTTAATCGATATTTTTCATCAATCTATTCAAATTCGATAATTTTTTATTTATTTTAATCTACAAGCTCGCAGAATTAAAATAAAAAAAAAATTCATTGAATTTTGATAGATGGTTGTTGAGAAATCATCGGTTAAAGTTTTTTTTTTGCCAATTTGAATTTTCGTTATTTTAAATTTTTTTTAAAACTTCTAGCGAAGGATTCTCGTTATCTACCAATAAAATTTTTTATTTTAATTTTACAAATATATTGAATCAAAATAAAAAAAATTTTACTAAATTTGATCGAATAGTTATTGAGAAATCTTCGCTAAAAGTTTAAAGAAATTAAAAAGTTTAAAAGGATTTTGATCGGAAATAAACTGAAGCCCGGAATTTGCTTGCCATAATAAAGGAGCCCAGTATAAAATTGACTTCCGGTGTTATCGTTATGCTCAAGTTTTTATTTTTAGTTAGTGTCATGTTATTCTATAATCATTTTTATGTACTTCTTATTTTGGTATAGTTTGTGGCATAGTTGGGGGACAATAACCCTCAGCGAGAGATTAAACCCTGCACGAATTAAGATATATAAAAGTATGGTTTCAGTCTGCGAACAGTAGTTAATAGTATTTTGAGATTATTGCAATATTCCGATGTATTGATTTATGTTAATAAAGACCTGTAATTATGTAGTTTATCGATTTAAATCATTTAACCTTAACCACTATTTGTTCACAATCGAAGCTAAATTGTTCCAAGACCCTATAAGCTCTCCCACCGATCGTAATACCGGTATTCTTTGAGTTACCCGTCGAAATTCAAAAGGCAATATAGTGATTTTTGTGATCATACTTTTTTTTTTATGTTCACAAGAAATTTTTATTAATTAGATAAAAATTATTTATGTTCACAAATGTGAACATAAAATAAAAAAATTTGTAATTTTTTTTAAAAATTTATGTTCACTGTGAACACTATGACATATGATTTCCAACACTGGTCGCATTGTGCAAATGCAGTGAGCTATGCGTATCAACATATCACTTCTACATTCATGTGATTGGTAAAATGCACAGAGAGACGATACAGTAATGGGAAATTGAAATAAAGAAAAGAACATTATATCAGCACATTAGTATTCTTGATCTGTTGTCCGATCGTATTGCATAAAGGGGACATTTGCATCAGAGCCAGTGGATTTTAATAGTAGCAAAAATAGCATTAGCAATATCACGACAACCACATAAACAAATCTGACCGAAATTGTTTTATTTTAATTCTATAAATACATAGGAATTAAAGTAAAACAATTTCGGTCAGATTTGTTTATGTGGTTGTCGTGATATTGCTAATGCTATTTTTGCTACTATTAAAATCCACTGGCTCTGATTTGCATACGGATATTACTTTATAATATTAGGGTTTAATTTCTTCAATAATTTCGTCAATTGTCAAAATTTTGTCAGATGAAACCATAGACGAACTATTTTGTCATGCAAAAAATATTTCCATCATTAGCACCAGATTAGTTGAGGTAGCTGGGGGTTTTTTTTTATTTTTAAAGTCTTTGTCATCTCATTTGGGCTGATCTGATTTATCAATTTTTATATCGGATAATTTCATAAAGTGCCAGGCTTTTATTTTACAACCATTCCTTTGGTTCGTATCACTAGCACGAAATAGGGATGATAAAAATTTTGAAAAGAACTAAGTTCCTGGGACGGATTGCTATGTATCATTCTTGCATTAAATTTTTAGGTACTGTAGTAAGTTTCTTATTTGCAGTTAAATATGGTGAACCAATTTTAAAGTAATATAGAAAAGTTTTTTTTAGATCTTTTAATCACAATCTTATCATCGGTTTTTGATATCAACTACGTAAATAATATTCCTATACTTTTAAAGGCTTTATTATGTTTGCATAAACAAGTAATTTCTAATAATTTCTAATAATTTCTTGCAAACGATGTCTTTTGTTCTTGGGCCCACATATGTAGCAGTAGCCCTAATCTGCATCCTAATATTCCTTGTTTTTGGATAGTTGATTTCTTACTGGGCTTATGGTACGTAATATTAAAACAAACTTAGCCAACCTTTTCAGGATGCAAAAATTAACTTAAAGTCTTTTCATTAAGCTCTTTTGCATTTTTGACATTTTCCTATATTGGCATCATCATTATTATTGGATTTGTTTCTGGTTAACAGTTGTATTACTCTAGCCTCAAAATATGTAAGCTACGTAATTTATATATACGATTTTGATAATTCAGAGATGTCTATTATTGCCTTATTCATGGTGATACTCCAGACATTACTAATATTTTTTCAGTAGAATTAGATTCTGAAACAACTGTCAACAGGCTCAGAGAAATTATTAAAGAGAAGATTAAAGAGACGAAACAAGATCTTCCTTGGGTTGATGATGTAATAATGCTTAAATTGATGAACCAATTGAGAAATTGAATATCCTTTTTGACAACCACGGATATTAAAAGAAAGCTTGGAGGCAAAAAGTTGTTTATACCAGTAGATAAGATTGCCAAATATTTTCCTTACAAGCTTAACAAAGAATATATACACACTATAGTTGTATTACCAGGTTACCGTCTCACACTTACAAGTTGTGTTAAAAGAAATGAAATTGTTCACATGGATAAGATCATTTACAGAGAAGGTCCTCTCGATCTAGAAGGTGAAATTGTCTGCACTGATGTAGGAGTTCGAATTAAGTTAGTTTATAAATCTGAAGAATTTATGCTGGATACATTTGCTAAATTCATTGAACAAGTGAAACGAATTCGAGATTTAAGTTCTGATAAAGAGACCAAACCTTATATATTGAGTACAAACACACACAATAAAAAATTTAATGTTATAAAAATTTTTGTTAAACTTTTTCATGTATTTCCGTTATGAAGTGGGAGATCTGAGTTTGAGACCACAGATCGTGGTTCAAGAACACAGATCTCGGTTTGCGACCACAGATCTCGGTTTGAAATCCAAGAATTTGGTTTCAGACCACGGCCATTTTGAATGTATAAATATGATAGCTAAACTAATAAAAAGAAATGGCAATCTGGTATGTTGCATAATAAATTAAGTAATAACGTATTTTGACCTTACCTACCAAATAAACTACATTCCTTAATAACGACTATCATTAAATCCGAATCCTTTATAAACATCCATCTCGCATAACTTATGTTTGTAATCCTGAGCCAATTGATCTCACTTTAGCCAAGTCTCTCCCATAGTTACAACACTTAGTATACTCTTTTTGGCGAAACACTTAAACATTATTTTCGATTCTGAGGATTTTTTGGTTCACTTATTAAGTGTGACAATTTGCAGATGGAAGAGATTAGGTTTTGGAATTATGTTATATAAAATGGTGAATTTCGCAAAATCCTAATTTCCTTCTAAAGATTACTCTGAAAAATTGTCTACTTAGAACTTCATATTCATTATTCGAATAATATTCGTATTCAACGAAATCGGATAAATAGTTATGATTCAAAACTTACACGAATAATATTAGTTATTCGAATAGATATTTGTTGACCCAAAATATTCAAATATTATTCGAATAAGGAATCAGTAAACTCTAAGTCTACCCCACATTTGTTATTTTTTCAAATGTGTCGCAAATTATGTATTTTTGTATTCTCATATTCTTGAAAAAAAACTTTGAAAAGATTTAAATAAAGTCTTTTATAACCCGGTCATAAAGTTACTTCAACGATACTTCCATCTCATATTATTTTATGAGGAAATTAATGAAGGGCTTTAAAGTCTTTAGACCTTCAATAATTTCGGATAAGCATTTATGCTTATATTCATACTAACAGATCTTGAATGAATATATTTTCTTACTAAACAATAACCCCTGATTATCACCTATTAAATTTAAATCGTAACAACGTCCTTGTATAGCTGAAAATTAACTTTTATGCAAATGGATCCAGTTTATCATAGTAAGCAAGACAGAACTATAGAAACCAATAATAAGGACAGTAATACTGAAGATTATTTAACCATTTATCGACAAAAACACACTTCCACTTCATACTCTGTTCTCGAAATCACGAACGAGATCATCATCGATAAATGTCTTGCTGAGGGAACTGCTCTTTTAAAAGTTTCATTAAAAAAGAACCAACAAAAAATCTTCAAAATAGATATTGATCAAGGTCAAATTCAATGGGACTCCAAAAGATCTGGAAAAGGTAAAAATTACTCTATTTTTTATAAATTTGATGAAAGTATTTTGATCTTTATTTTAATTCGTGTTTTGCACATCTCATTAGTCAACATTGAAAGTATTGAGGAACTTCGAGTTGGTGATGCAATACGAGTTTATAGGGAACATTTCAAGCTTAATGTGGATATTGAATCTCGATGGTTCACCATCATTTATGTTGATTTTGGGAAATATAAAGCTCTTCACTTAGTTGCTCCGACTTTAGAATTATTTAATATATGGGTTGACACATTGAAAAAACTATATTTGCATAGAAGAAATATGATTGGAGGGTTAAATCATTTGAAAAAACGACATTCTTTATGGCTGAAGCAATACTGGAAGAAGGCTGACAGAAATGGAGATTCAAGATTAGGTTTTGATGAAGTCGCAAATTTATGCCATCATTTGAATATACACACCTCAAATACACTGCTTAGGACCAAATTTGATGTTTGTATTAATGCATATATTATTAGATTAAATAATTATCACTATTAATTTTTTTTTTTTTTTAATCTTAATTCCTGTTCATCTTTCTTAATTATAGGAAGCAGATCAAAATAAAGATGGTTGGCTTGATTTTACTGATTTCCAGCGATTTGTGGAGTTAATTAAAAAAAGGGATGAACTGGATAAGCTATTTAATTCTTTGGCAAAAGAGCGTGGTAATATTTTAACATTACAAGAATTTAAAGACTTCCTTGATGGTGTTCAAAAGGTTTTTATTTTATTTTTTTTACTACACATTCTAATTGAATTTATTAAAAGAATATTTAGCTAATATTATTGTTTTATAATGAACCAGTGCACTTTGAAAGATGAATATGATGATTTGTACTATAAATATTGTGACAAAGACCTTAAAGAGATGAATTTAGAAGGATTTAGTAGTTTTCTCATGTCTAGCGACAACTCCATTTTTGCTTTAGAACATGCCAAAGTTTATCAAGACATGTCACAACCATTAAGTCATTATTTCATCGATTCTTCGCACAATACGTATGTTATAATATATTTTGAAAAACATTATTTACTTTAAATTAACCAACTAATTATTTTTGCGGGTTTATTTTATCTTTTAGATATCTTTTAGGACATCAGCTGGCAGGTGAATCCACAATCGAAGGATACATACGCGTCTTACGGAAGGGATGTCGTTGTGTTGAAAGTATGAATATAAAATTGTCTCATACTTAAATTATACTTTTTTATACATACTTCTGTGCTTGTAAGATACTCTAGTATGTCTTTATCGTTATATATTACTTATAAGTCATACTTGTTCCTATTATAGTTGATTGCTGGGACGGACCTGATGGTCCCGTAGTTTTCCATGGGTTTACATTGTAATTAAATTTCATACTTGTACGTCATTTTGCTATATTATAATTATAGTGACAAATTTTAATATAAATTAGGACAACTAAAATCAAGTTTCAAGATGTTATTTCGGCAATTCGTGCCTACGCATTTGAAGCCAGTCCTTATCCATTAATACTATCACTTGAGGTTCATTGTAGTATTGAGCAACAAAACCAAATGGCTTCTATTTTACTTAACACTCTGGGTGAATATCTTGTCAATAAATTCTTATCCGAAAACGAAACAGAATTACCGAGTCCTGCAAGTTTGTTGTACAAAATAATATTAAAAGTAAGCATTTTATTATTAGTGATAGATTGTTCTTATAAATGCCTTGTTATCAAACATTATCAACATACACCTATATCAATTTTAAACCTCTCAGGGACTCGACTCGATTACCGACGCTGAATCTACTACTGAAACCGAGTCAAATGTTGAATTATCTAAAGGTATGTCTTTTGGGGGCGCCTATTAATGTCACATGTTATATTATTATTATTACTATTAAGAATTTTATTCTTCTTTTAATAGAAAAAGAAAAAAACGCCACTAAAACTGAAATGCAAATTGCAAAAGCCCTTTCAGACTTGGTAGTCTACTGCTATTCTGTTAGGTTTAAAGGATTCAATCACAGTATGCTCATCAAAACTATAAACTTAAAAATCACTTTTCCTAAAAATTCATAAATTAATAAATTATAAAACGTGTAGAGAATTCAAAGTACTATCAAGTATCTTCTTTTACCGATAGAGCTTCTTTACAGCTTCTGAAATCTAAAAAGGACGATTTTATTCGGCACAATACGCGCCAGTTAACACGTATATATCCGTGGGGTCTTCGAGTAGATTCTTCAAATTTTGAACCACATCATCAATGGATGGTTGGGAACCAAGTGGTCGCCTTAAATTCGCAGACTTTTGGTTAGTTTTTGACTATGATTTTTTTTTATTTATGACATTTTATATAAACTTGTATTGGGTTATTTCAGACTTAGGAATGCAAATCAATCAAGCTATGTTTTCTGTCAATGGTGGATGTGGTTATGTACTCAAGCCTGAGCGATTGCGTAATCCTGAAATTTCTTCAGATATAAATACACGTTCACCAACACAAACATTGACAATTGAAGTAAATTAATTTAGGTTTTCTTGATGATTTCGATCTTATTTTGCTTACAAATTAACACATCTTTCTTTTTTTGCTGATACATTAAAATAGATAATTTCTGCACAACAACTTCCTAAACCAAATGATTCCCACAAAGGTGAAGTAATTGATCCATATATTGAAGTAGAATTGCTTATCCCTGGTACCGATTCTACAAAAAAAAGAACTAGTACCATTTACAATAACGGCTTTAACCCTACGTGGAATGAAACTTTAAAATTTACATTGAACTACGAAGAACTTGGTTTGATATTTTTGCGGTAAATAATCTAAAACCAATTGAAGCTTTGTTATAATTCGCTTAAATAAAAAACATTAAAAAATTATTATTGTTAATTTATAAAGATTCGCTGTTTGGGATGAAGACGTTGTTAAGAATGATGATTTTATTGCGTCTTATTGCATTCCCGTAACAAGTTTACAATTTGGTGAGAAAATGTTAAATTTTATTTTATTTTTATATCTATTAGTAATTCTTAGAAATATACTTTACTTTTTAGGGTATCGTCATGTCCCATTAAATGATTTTAATGGGGGAAAATATCTTTTTACTACTTTATTTATTTGTTCTTCTTTCGAATTTACTCCTGTGTAAAATAATGATATTATCATTGAAAGTCATATGACGTTATTTATTGTATTTATGTATTGTTACGTCATAGGCAATTGTCTATTTTACAAGTTTGGATAAGAATGTTTTTTCATTTTTATTAAATCTCTTGCTCAGTAATACAGTAATAACACTTGAGCTTCTTTTATTAATCGGTCTTTTAGGTAAATGGTAAGGTGGGGAGCTGTTGCACCATTTATCATGACGAACCAAACCCATTTCATGAACTACGTTTATGTGTAGTCAAACTATTATCTTATATAAATGTTGAGGCTTTTTGTTGGCGTCTGTTACAACTGTCTCGATTTTTTCTGGTAGTTTTACCTCTTGAGATAATCCAAACAGGTTGCACGTGGATTTTCAAATCGCTCTACTAATCCTACAACTTAATATATCCAGAGATTGTGTCTCATCTGACACCAGGGGAAGTTTGCGGGAACTTCTGGATCATTCTGCGACCTATCGGTAAGGTGTTATGCATCATACGCCAGAAAATTTCTTTTCCAGTTCTCTTTTTTATCTCTGTTGCTAAATAAGTTTGCTTGCGAAAATATTTTAAAGCTCTTATTTAATATGCATATAGTATTAAATCTTTCAAAGTTATCTGATATAGCAACCAGTTGAGTAAATTGTTGAAAATAAATGCTTAACATAGGATTTTCAACCAAATTCGTAAATTTTATTTATAAAATCTAACTTATTAGAGAAATTATATTTGACCCAGGGAGATTAATATGATTATGGTGAGGTACACTTTGTCGAAATAGAATTATTAATTTCAATATTATGTATTCTTTCAAACTTTGAGCGAAGATACCTATATAAATTTTTATTTTATTCTATGATACATAGAATTAAAATAAAAAAATTTCATTGATTTTTGATAGGTAATCATCGAGATATCATCGTTCAAAGTTTTGAAAAAACTTAGCCGCGACTTAGACAATCGGCTAAACTTTGAATGACTAAAATCGATAAATTTTATTCTACAAATCCATAGAATTAAATAAAAACATTTCATCGATTTTGATAGGTAATTATCGAGATATCATCGCTCAAAATTTGAAAAATTTGAAAAAAAACTTAGCAACAATCTTTGATAATCGGCTAAATTTTTTTGAACTTTGAATGAGGATATCTCAATGACTGCTTATCAAAAAATCAATAAAGTTTTTTTTTTATAATTTTGTGAATCCATAGAATTAAAGCAAAAAAAAAATTCAATTTTATATAGGCACTTACAAAGGTATCTTCGCTCAAAGTTTGAAAGAATGTCATAAAAATCACACAAAATTGAAACTCGCTTATTATATGTCTTCTAACTATTGATGCCTCAATACAAGTTCGATATGAGATAAGATATGCTAACATTGGTTTATAATTGGTTTAACAAAAATATGATATAGATATGTTTATTTTCTAAGAAATTAAACAAATATTTGTACACCCTTTTCAAATAGTTTTTACCATTTTTATTATCTCTATCGTTATTTATACAAGTTCACTTATTTACAGTATTATCAATCCTGAACCTTTAAGACAATTATAATCTTTTTAGTGTAGTGTGCGTATACATGATACTTACGTGCGTTAAATACATGAGTGCTGCTAAGACTTCGGATATTCGAATAATTCTGGTGGAAAATTTACGGATATAGTTTAAGACTTCAGACTTTCTAGGGCAGCGATGCCAGTGGCCGAGGCCAAAATATAAATAAAATTTGTGACTAAACCGAAAAAAATCAAATATTATATAGCATAAAACTAGTATTTGTTTGATCTGATATCACGTAAATTAAAATTTGTCAAGGGTTCGGCCAGCAAAATTGTCATACTGTTGTAGGGACTTGGATTAGTTAAGATCCTATAGAGTCTAAATTAGTAAAGTACTTAGCCCAATCCCACACAAAATATGGTACACATCTCAAAAGTACAGTATCAGACGATAACTGAAGCGTAACAGACATTAAAAATTTAGTTGTATCTAGAGATGGGTAAAATGCGCATGATTATTTAATGATTAACCCTAGGTGCCGCACAAAAAATGCGCGGCAGATCCTCGATTTTGATTGGCTAACGGCCGAGGTTCTTCAAAAGTTTGGCCCGCATTACATAATTGTTTACTAATTTCCGGCCGAAATTAACTTTTTGATTTTTTCATTACAAAAATTGAAATTTTTAAGAAATAAGCCCGCATTACGGTAAAATTGACCCAAGAACAATTTTCACTTAATAGGCGGCTGCGATTTCATTAGTAAAATTATTGGTAATTCCGGCCTAATATTTTGATCGTCGCTCTTAAAATCGAGGATCTGACGCGCATTTTTTGTGCGGCACCTAGGTTCAATCCACAAGATAAACTTTATTACTGATAATATATCTAAATAAAGATACTACATATTAATTCTTAATCAGATTTTGTCTACATATATAGCTTTTACAATTAGCCGATTGTAAATTTCATAGTTGCTAATCTTATATATTAAATCAAATTTAATAAAGAAGATATACAGTACCGGACAGAAAAACGCATCCACATTTTAGTAATAAAAACTTTAAATCATTATAACTTTTTTAAAACAAGTTAAATCAACAAATTGATAGATATTTAGCTAAACTACATTTTTGTCGAAGGATTTTTTATTAATAATTTTTGTTTTAAAGGAGTTATTAAGAGTTAAAGTTTATAATGATTTAAAAAGTTGGCATTTAATATAAAAAAAAAAGAAAATATATATGTTTAATTAACCAATTAGAATCAATTACATCAAAAATTAGCCAGTCATAATTGATTATATAAGTATCAAAAATTGGTGCTCATATGTATAGAGTGGATGTCTTATGCTGTCTGGTACTGTATAAAAAAAAACTTATTATTTTAATAATCTTAACTATTTAAACCTTCATAATCTTGATGTTTTTATATTTTAATTACTATTAAATTCCTTAAAACTAATTTTGCCAATATTACTAATCTACCAAATTGAATAGTTTATAATGTTTTAAATCTAATAACTCAAACATTATCTATTAAGATATTAATTTGAAAAGGTTTAACAGTAGTTTTTTTTTGTTTTTTTTTAATATTTTAAATTTTTTTTTAATTTTTATATTTTAAATTTTTTTAAAGTAAATCTATTTGTAACCAGCAGTAACAGTCCTGTGCCAATAAGATTCTTTACAGAAACTAGCTATTTTTTTCAATAGAGTTAGGATCATCTTAATGATATTATTAAATTTTTTAATAATTATAAAATTATTTTACAATAAATTTTTAGTGCAAAAATTTT